GAACGTGCCGCCCTCCGGGACACGTCCCACGGCCCCGGAGCTTCCCGCTGCGCTGCTGCTGCAGCGGCGCTGGTGCCCCGGGGAGGAGAGGCCGTGAGGGGCTGGGATGCGCTGGAAGGGCAGAATCCCGGGCACAAGCTGCACCGGAGCCAGAGCTTTTTGCACCGGCAGCACAGCATGGCATGGGGAAACCTCCTAGGAAAGCATGGCCACCGGTCGAGCACTTTGCAGAGAAACAGGAGCGCCCAGGGTGCCTCCACAGCAGCTCCTATCTGCCCCTCTCCACTGGGGAAGCAGCAGGAGGAACAGCCCCATCAAGGCCGTTATTCCCAATTCCACGGGTATGAAACGAGGCAGCCCGGCGGGAGGCAGGAGTTCCCAGACCACGGTTCCCACAACAAGCCAGGCTCTCCTCGCCGTGCTGCATGCGCACGGGGCGGCCAGCGCCGGGCTCCCGCGCACTGCAGCGCACAACGCTCGGCACGCAGTGTGAAAGGGTGCCAGAGCACTGGAACAGGCTGCCCAGAGAGGTTGTGGAGTCTCCTTCTCTGGAGATCTCCAAACCCGCTTGGACGCAGCCCTGTGCCACGTGCTCTAGGTGACCCTGCGTGTGCAGGTGTTGGACTGGATGATCCCTAGAGGTCCTATGATTCATTCTGTGATTCTATGATTCTACGAAGGGGCAGAGCGGCGCAGATGACTGTTCATGGGCAAGGAATCCCCGGGGCAGCCGGGCCCCGCACATGGAGCTCCGCAAGGAGCATCCCAGGGCCCTGCCCGGCACATCCGTCCGTGTGTCCGTGCGTATGGCAGGGATGGCCGCGTGCGCGTCCCGCGCGGCACCCACCTGCGCGCTGTCGCCCTCGAGCCGGGGCGGGCGGATGCTGGAGAGGTGGATGGTCTTGTGGTCGCCGGAGCTCAGCTTCACCACGATGGCATCGGCGTTCAGCACCTGCATCACCTGCGGGGAGAGCGCGGGTGAGAGGCCGGGCTGGTCCCACATTCCCACATGCTTCCGAGCGCCGGGACAGCCCTGAGCCCGGGCGCCAGCCCCGCGTGGCCCCAGCTCCCCAAGGGCTCTCGCTGCAGGAAAAAGCACACGGGAGGGCAGCGGGAGCAGCTATCGGGTCCCCCATCTCTATTAGGGTCTCTGTGCGCACAGGAACGAGAGGGCAGGCGGCTACGCGGGGCTGGGCTGGTGCAATTGCACTGCAAAACAGTCCCAGGAGTAGGGCACGGAGCTCCCCGCGCCCGGGCATCGCTGTCCTCCCGTCCCCCTCGCTGCTCCGAGTACCCCCATGCCTGCCGTAAGCATCTCCAGCGCCGGGAAGGAGGAAGGACTTTCATAACTCGCAGCCCTTCGTGCCCTGCAAGCACATCCGTCCCTGCAAACGTGCTTAGTCAAAGGGATAACCGGATTACAGGAATTAAAATCAAAGCAGACACTAAGGAGGGCCCGGGCTCCTCGGAGCACAGGGAGCCGCTCCGTTCGAGCCCCGGCTCCCGTGGGACGCGGCGCCCCGCGGCCCTCGAAACGCGGTAATCGAATCTCATGCTCGAGGGCATCGCCGCCGCCGCGGGGTCGGGCTCCCGCAAGCGGCTGTGAGCCGGGGACGCTGCCGAGAAGAAGCCAAATATCAAAAGGAAGAAAAACGCGGCGCATCCCTAAACACCATCTCTGTTTCCCCAAGCAGGTCCCCATGGATAGCAAGGGACAGAACAAGTGGGGTGCAAGGGGGTCCCTGTGCACGTGCTCCAGGGGAGCTGCTGCCATCAGAGCCATCTCCTGCCCTGCATCCTGTGTCCCCAAGCACGGGGCCGAGGGGACACCGTGGCCCCGCGCAGGCCGGCGAGCCCTGCGGAAAGCCGCCGCACAAACAGCTTTTGGCACGGGGTAGCTTTAAGTGTAATGTATTCAGCTGCGAGCAACGCTGCCCCGATTCCTGGGTGCCCTAAGACAAGCTGACATCGGGAATTCAGAAGAAAGTCTCCAGTCTCTTCAAATTTTTATTCCACTGCTTTTCTGCTTGCCACTTGCTCCACCACTTGCAGGCATCAAATCCGCGATTGAGGCCAAGACTTCCTCCTCCTCCTCCTCCTCCTCCTCCCTCCAGCCCCCCTCCCTCCGCCAGCCGCTTTTGTCTCCACGCTGGCAGCTCGGCACCGCGGCAGCAGGAGCCAAAAATAACCGGCGGCCAAGCG